CACGGCACTCCAGCCTGGGCAACGGAGTAAGATGCCAACTCAAAATAATAATAATAATAACATATTGACTGAAAATTTGTTAGCTAAAGGCATAATACCTTCCCCAAGCATACCTTGATTTTGATGGACGATACAAGGAGGGACCCCAAAAACACGGGAATTTATGTATTAAAAATTGTATTTATTCTTACATATTTAAACTTTAGCCACTTTTGAAGTACTCTCTGTTTGATGCAATACACCTAATGAGACACTTTTTCCACTGCTCAAAACAGTTTTTTAACTTGTTGATTTTGATTCAAAAATGTGCTTCTGCCATTTTTGTTTCACCTCTTTCACATTGGCAAGATGTTTCCCTTTGAGAACTTTTTTCATCAGGGAAACAAAAAGTTGCTCAGGGCACGATTGGGTAAATAGGGAGGGTGGGGCAGCTGGGTCATTGCCATTTGGGGTCAAAAACTGCTGAATACTCAGTGTGGTGTCAGCGGGTGCACTCATAAATCATCCATCATGAAATGGACAAACACATTGAAAGAATCTCCAGAAAAAAATTGTACTGAAGCCAAACACAGCCTCTCACAACAATGCTAGCTGGTACACTGATGCTGATGGATACCTAGTAGGGATAGCTAAACTGCAAGGGGCCCACCCTCATAAAGATAATTCCTGTTTTTTGGGGGGGGTCCCCTCATGTTTCCTAATCTTTACTTGAAGGACTAAATCTGTAATGGAAGACAAAAACAGGAGACCTCTATATTGAGTGGGCCATGTATTTACCTACCAGACAAGCTTTGTGATATATAAATATATTAAAACACACATATGTTTATAATAAAATTAGGTACCTCCTACATTGGGCACTTTGATAGACCCTTCCCAAATTTCATAACAATCCATATATCATTCTGTCTCCTTTTTACAGATGAGAAAACTGACTCAGAGAAGTTTGGTGACTTGCTCTGTCACACAGCCACCAAGGATTGCAACTGAGATTCAACCTTGGGTCTGACTCCTAAGCTCAGATCATCGAGCTGTCTCAAGAGCAATTTTCTCATTAGAGAACAGACTGCAATAGGAAAGAGAAATCAAGAACTAGACTTTCCATGATTATTATAAGGAAAAAATGCAGGTCACCTGTTTTAGAAAATAATATCCCTGGCAGGGCTCAGTGGCTCAGCCTGTAATCCCAGCACTTTGAGAGGTCGAGGCGAGTGGATTGCCTGAGCCTGCAGGTTTGAGACCAGCCTAGGCAAATTGGTGACACCTCGTCTCTACAATAAATAAATAAATAATTAGCTGGCGTGGTAGTGTGAGCCTGTAATTCTGGCTACTTGGAAGGCTGAGGTGGAAGGATCGTTGAAGCCCAGCAGGTCAATGCTGGGGTAGCTGTGAGCATGCCACTGCACTCCAGCCTGGGCGACAGAGTGAGACTCCAGCTCAAAAAGAAAGAAAGAAAGAAAGAAAATAATATCCCAAACAACAATTTAATAGCTCATATTTCCATCTTTAATATGTGTCATATGATGAGTTTTGTCAGAGAGAAGTTTGTTATTTTCTTTATGTGCTTGCCTCATTTATTACATCTAATTAGTGCCATCATGAATCCAGTGGCAAAATTAGGTGGATGCCATTGGTACTCAGATGGGCCTAGAGCCACAAAAGACTTCGGATTTCTTACTCTGCTAACAAACTTGTCCAGTAATCAATGAAACATGGTTGTTGATGCTCTTTTTTCCAAGGGCTGGCAGGGATAGGCGAAGAAGTAGAGAACTGGAAGCAACTCAGGAACCTTGCATCAGTTCCTGATCCTCACTAAGTCTTAGAAGCATAAAATGTTAGAGTCGAAAAGATTCTTCAAAATCACATAGTTCAGCCAACCTGTTAAGCTAACTGTTGGAAATCCCTTTGCAACATACCAATGGAGATCCTCAAGACTCTTGAATGCCCTAATGAGATAATCATTATTTAACAAAGCTGCCTGCTTCATCTTCAGATAGCTTTGTCTAATAGGAAGTTCTTCACACTGAGTTGAAATCTTAGCCAGGCTCGGTGGCTCAGCCTGTAATCCCAGTACTTTGGGAGGATGAGACAAGTAGATTACCTGAGCCTGTGGGTCTGAGACCAGCCTGGGCAACTTGGTGAGACCTTGTCTCTACAATAAATCAAAACTTAGACGGGTGTGGTAGCATGTGCCTGTAGTTCCGGCTACTTGGAAGGCTGAGACAGAAGGATTGCCAGAGCCCAGCAGGCTGAGGCTGCAGTGGCCGAGAGGCGTGCCACTGCCCTCCAGCCTCGGGTGACAGAGTGAGACTCCAACTCAAAAAATAAATAAATAAATAAAAGAAATCTCTCTCCTCGTTTCCACGCACTGGAGTTGATAACTTCCCCTACAAGTTTTGTTGTTGTTGTTGTTTACTTATTTATTTATTTTGAGTTGGAGTCTCGCTCTGTCGCCCAGACTGGAGTGCAGTGGCCGCTCCCGGCCACCGGAGCCTCGACCTGCTGGGCTCCGGCGATCCTTCTGCCTCAGCCTTCCGAGTAGCCGAATTACAGGCGCGTGCTACCACGCCCGGCTGGTTTTTTTGATTTATTGTCGAGATGAGGTCTCGCTGCCCAGGCGGGTCTCGAACCCGCGGGCTCAGGCAGTCCACTCACCTCAGCCTCCCAAAGGCACGGGATTACAGGCTGAGCCACTGAGCCCGGCTGAATTGACTTTTTACTCCCTCGGTGCCTAAATGCAGTTCTCCACAGCGCTGGGTTTCATGTTTCACTTTGATCTTTATTGTTGTCAGTACAGTGAGAGTAGGAAAGGGTCAATCCAGTTATTCACCCATCCTTGAGATCTAAGTCTTTCACAATCTTTAGAAATCTCTTAGGAGCCAGGCTCCATGGCTTAAACCTGTAATCCCAGCACTTTGGGAGGCAGAGGTGAGAGGATCGCCTGAGCCCAGGGGTTCGAGACCAGCCTGGGAAACTTGGCGAAATCTTCTCTCTACAATAAACCAAAAAATTCACTGGGTGGGGTAGCATGCGCCTGTAGTTCTAGCTGCTTGGCTAAGGCAGAAGGATCATCTGAACCCAGCAGGTTGAGGCTGCAGTAGCCATGAGCATGCCATTACACTCCAGCCTGGGCAACAGTGAGACTACAACTAAACTAAAAAAAAAAAAAAAGAAAAGAAATCTCTTAGAAAAAAATATCGCCTTGGCCATAAATCAGCAGCAGCATTCCAATATGCTGAGACCAGTTCTGATTGCTCCATTCCCCAAAACTGACAGAACCGACTGTTCCACTACTTGGCCTGGAAAGACTTGCCAGAAAAGTTTCTGGCAAAGCCATCTAGGTCTTATCATGAGTGGAAATGGATCAAAATGCAGATGAATTCCTAAACGTCTATCAGTCATCCTCCATCTGTTCTCTAAATCAGAACCTCCCTCCTGCTCACAAGCCTTCTGGGAACACTTCTGCTTCCTTTCTACCTCCACTTTCCATCTCCATCCTCTGACTTCTCACTGCCAAGCTACAGAGACAGCTTGATGTGTAGGGAGGAGCCAGAGAAATAGTAGAGCTAGGTGTCTACTGCCACAGGAATTTTGGACATTGTCAGTCAGTCACACTTGGAGCCATTTGTCCATGTTCAAGTCGGTCGAAGAGGAGATCTGGGCAACAATAACTGGATGAAAGGAATTCTTGCTGCAAAGTAGCCGACACGTTTATGTAAATTCTTTCTGATAATGGTAAGATTTATTTTGCAAGGTATCAATGGAACCCTAAAACACACACTCTTTCTAAATTTTGTGTTAAAATGTTGTGAGATTCACTTAACACAAGAACTCATTAGTAATGTAACTAAAAAAAAACATTCACCACTGGGTAGTAAATTAGCATCCTATATATTTGAGAAATGAATGAATGTCTAAGAATACAAGTTAATTACATTTAATTGGAAAGGAAGTTAATGATTCAATTTTTAAATTGCAAACAATATATATATTCCCAACAAATTCACAGTAAAATAGCTTTAAAAAGCTTTAAAATATAAAAAAAAAATTTTTTTAGAGGAAAAAGTCAGTAACTAGAAAAAATGAGTAACAAAGTTAATAGAGGGGTCCCCCAAAGAAATCAGGAATTTGTTTATAAAAAATTGTGTATTTATTCTTACATGTTTAAACTTCAGTCACCTTCAAAGTACTTTCCATTTGATTCAACACCTCTTGAGATGTTTCTTCTACTGCTCAAAAGTTTTTTAATTTGTCAATTTTGATGCCTTTTAGAGCTTCTGCCATTTTTTGTTTCATCTCTTCCATATCAGCAAAATGTTTCCCTTTGAGGACTTTTTTTAATCCAGGGAAACAAAAAAAAAGTTGCTACGTGCCAGATCAGGTGAATAGAGAGGGTGGGGCACGGGGGGGTCATGCTGTTTTGGTTATACACTCAGCACAGTGTGGGCAGGTGCACTCATAAATCACCCATCATGAAATGGGCAAACGAGTTGAAAGAATCTCAGGAAAAAAAAATCACTGAAGCCAAATGCAGCTTCTCACAACACTAGCAGTACACTGATGCCAGTGGATTCCCAGAACTCTTACCAAGTGGGAAAAGCGTGTACTCCAAGGGGCTGGCCCTCCAAAAGACAATTGCTTTTTTGGTGTCTTCCTGCATATGCCCAGCTTTAAAGGATTCTTATATACTCAGTTAACTGAAAGATTCTTTAGTAATGTCATATGTTTTTACCAAAATAAAGTTTCCAGCCAGGCTCGGTGGCTCAGCCTGTAATCCCAGCACTTTGGGAGGCTGAGGCAAATGGATCGCCTGAGCCCGTGGGTTCGAGACCCACCCAGGCAACTTGGCGAGACCGTGTCTCTACAATAAATCAAAAATTAACCGGGTATGGTAGCACACGCCTGTAGTTCTGGCTACTTGGAAGGCTGAGGCGGAAGGATCACCAGAGCCCAGCAGTTTGAGGCTGTAGTGGCCGGGAGCATGCCACTGCACTGCAGTCTGGGCAACAGGGTGAGACTCCAACTCAAACAAAAAAAGTTTCCAAAAGAAAATTAAACATTTATGACTGGAGTTAGTTGTAGTAAGGAACTGGATGTGAGTGTCTGACTGTTCTTTGTGCCTTCAAAGTTTTGCAGAAAATTCTGTCTTCTTTTTAGTCCATCCAAAATAACTGAATTATTAGATGCCAGACTCTGTGTCCTAAAAATATTAAAAAATAACAATTATCGCCTTTGAAAGGGACTTGGATTTCTAATCAAGGCTTTACACTTTCATTTGTTACTTTGAAGCAGAACATTTACTAACACAAAGGTACATTTATCAAATAAGTTAATTTTTAAAACTCTAAAGTGCTCTTACATTTTAAAGGCTTCACAATAGTACCTCAATTATTTGACAGCTGCTTTCAAAGAAGTTCATATTTTCTGAACATCTGTTCTAAGATCCAGTATCAAGCATATTTTAGTCAAAAACAGTAAGTTCCCTGAAAAACTCTTCGATGAATCTGAAGTGGCCAATATCTTCCTGTGTAATTTATTACTTTCAGGAGAAATCATATGGAAGGGGAAAGACAAGTACTATATTTTTCATATTAACAATGTTCTTAGCCGGGCTCGGTGGCTCAGCCTGTAATCCTGCGCCCTTGGGAGGCTGAGGTGAGTGGATTGCCTGAGCCCGCGGGTTCGAGACTCACCTGGGCAGCGAGACCTCATCTCTACAATAAATCAAAAAATCAGCCAGGCGTGGTAGTGCATGCCTGTAATTCTGGCTACTTGGAAGGCTGAAGCCAAAGGATCGCCGGAGCCCAGCAGGTCGAGGCTGCGGTGGCCGGGAGGGGACACTGCACTCCAGTCTGGGTGACAGAGTGAGACTCCAACTCAAAAAAAACCAAACAAAAAACAATGTTCTTTTCCTGGAAGCTGAAGTTATGGCAGTCCCTTTCTAACACATCTGCCATGCTTCAGCTGACTCACTATACCATCTGGTTATTTTTGCTTTTGACATTCTCTTTTCCCCACCTAGGTTCGTTCCATCGATTGTGCATTATATTAAGATATATCTCAGAAATATGTCCTCCAATAAGTCTTCCCCCCTACAGACCATCATTCTTAATTCCATATCTCTTTAACTGTTCTGAGTTTCAGCTTTGTTCTTTTTCTTTCTTTCTTTTTTATATTTAATTTTAAATATGTGGGGTATGATTCAGAATTAGGTGTACAAGTGGACATCGTACAGGTAAAGTTTGGGCCTCCCGCTTGTTTCCACTTTGCCTGATTTGAGATCAGATACCCCTGGGCACAGTGGCTCACGTCTATAATTCCAGCACTTTGGAGGGCCGAGATGAGAGGACTGCCTGAGCTCACAGGTTCAGGCAACTTGGTGAGACCTCATCTCTACAACAAATCAAGAAAAATTAGGTGGACTTGATGGCACATGCCTGTGGTTCCAGCTACTTGGAAGGCTGAGGCAAAAGGATCACCTGAGCCCAGCAGGCCAAGGCTGTGGTGGCAGTGAGCAACGTGCCATTGCACTCCAGCCTGGGCTACAGAGTGTGACCCTGACGCAAAAAATAAAAAAGATCAGGTACCCTTATTGATGTTGTGTCCCTCAGTTTAAGTTTAAACTTAAGTTGTTCTTAAGTTTAACTTGTCTATGCTAATTGTTTGTTGGTCTCCTCAACTAAACTAAATTGTAAGTTTCCCATAGGTAACAATTGTTCATCTCTGTACCCCTAACTTTTACAACCATTATGGCACACTGTTGATGTTCAAATGCTAATTTCCCTACCATTGCCTCTAAATGTCTTTAGTGATTATAGTTATAAGCCTTTCAAGAAAAGTTTATTGTAGGTGATTAAGAAATTAAATTTCTCAAAATTTTGCAAATTAAAATTCTCAATTGTATGTCAAAGAGTAATTCCCCTAATCTGTTTTTTTGTTTTGTTTTTGCTGAGAAAAGAAACAGAATCAAAAGAAGGAAAGAAAGAAGGAAAGAAAGAAAGAAAGAAAGAAAGAAAGAAAGAAAGAAAGAAAAAGAAAGAAAGAATCCATGACTTTTTGGTTTACACTATCATTGTTAATTTTTTTTATTTTTTAGAGACAGCCTCTCCCTCTGTCGCCAAGGCTGGAGTACAGTGGCACCATCATAGCTCACTGTAACCTCTAGCTCTTGTGTTCAAGTGATTCTCCTGCCTCAGCCTGCTGAGTAGCTGGAACTGTAGGTACACATCACCATACCCAGTCAAGTTTCTAAAATTTTTTTGTAGAGACAGGGTCTCACTATGTTCACCAGGCTGGTATCAAACTCCCGGCCTCAAGGGATCCTCCTACCTTAGCCTCCAAAAGTGGAGTAATCAGTGAGCTGCTACACCCAGGTAACTATTTACTTTTATTAAAGATATCATATTTTGATTCTCTTAAAGATTTTATATGAATCAAACTATTGATTCAAGCAGAAAAGATCTTATTCCCCCAATAAAGAAGTGATGTTATATTTTTAAAATGTAGACTTCTAGGAATTTATCCTAAGTAAATAGTTAGAAATGCTCACACACATTTGTGTGTAAAAATAATTCACTACAGATTGATTTATTACTAGCAAAAACTTGAGAATAATCTAAATGTCAAAGAAAGGGAAATAATGATTATATAAATAATGGGGTCCACATAATGGAATACTAAGCAGCCATTAAGAAGAACAAGCTAGGCCGGGCTCGGTGGCTCAGCCTGTAATCCCAGCACTTTGGGAGGCCGAGGTGAGTGGATTGCCTGAGCCTGTGGGTTCGAGACCCACCTGGGCAACTTGGCGAGACCTCATCTCTACAATAAATCAAAAATTAGCTGGGCGTGGTAGTGCATGCCTATAGTTCCAGTTACTTGGAAGGCTGAGGTGGAAGGATCGTGGGAGCCCAGCAGGTCAAGATTGCAGTGGCCGGGAGCGGCCACTGCACTCCAGTCTCGGTGACAGAGTGAGACTCCAACTCAAAAAAAAATAGTCATGATAAGTTAGGTTAAAAGAAAGCTGGGCAACCCCTTTGGGTCCCTCTACTGTGCAAGATTTTCTATCCTCTTAATAAATCCTGCTTTCAGTCGGGCTCGGTGGCTTAGCCTGTAATCCCACGCCTTTGGGAGGCTGAGGTGAGTGGATTGCCTGAGCCCACGGGTTCGAGACCCACCTGGGCAACTTGGTGAGACCTCATCTCTACGATAAATCAAAAATTAGCCGGGCGTGGTAGCGCGCGCCTGTAGTTCCAGCTCCTTGGAAGGCTGAGGCAGAAGGATCGCCAGAGCCCAGCAGGTCGAGGATGCGGTGGCCGGGAGCAGCCACTGCACTCCAGTCTGGGTGACAGAGTGAGACTTCAACTCAAAAACAAAAACAAAAACAAAACAAAACAAAATAAATCCTGCTTTCTAAAAAAAAAAAAGTCATGCCTGTGTATGACTTGTTAAAAATACTTATACACTTTGAGAGGCTGAGGCGAGAGGATTGCCGGAGCCCTGGGGTTCAAGACCAGCCTGGGCAACTTGGTGAGACCTCATCTCTACAATAAATCAAAAAATTAACCAGGCACGGTAGTACATGCCTGTAGTTTCTGCTACTTGGAAGGCTGAGGTGGAAGGATAGCCTGAGCCCAGCAGGTCGACACTGGGGTGGCCGTGAATGTGCCACTGCACTCCAGACTGGGCGACTGAGTGAGACTTATAAATGCGTTGAAGGAAAATCTGAAAGAATATATACAAAATGGTTAACAATGTTTTGATCACATTTATGGAAACAGAAGGAAAGATCAGGTAATGGAGACTTCCAGGTTTACTTTTTATAATTGTGTATTGCTTTAATTATTCAAAAGGAAGCACAGAGTACTTTTATATCAAACTAATAAAGATATACACCAAATTTATAGAAACTAGTAACTGGGGAATGTTGATGATATACTAAAAAAAGTAACATGCAGCCGGGCTCGGTGGCTCAGCCTGTAATCCTGTGCTTTGGGAGGCTGAGGTGAGTGGATTTTCTGAGGCCGCGGGTTCGAGACCCACCTGGGCAAATTGGCGAGACCTCATCTCTACAATAAATCAAAAAATTAGCCGGGCGTGGTAGCACGCCTGTAGTTCCAGCTGCTTGGAAGGCTGAGGCTGAAGGATCGACGGAGCCCAGCAGGTCGAGGCTGCGGTAGCCGGGAGCGTGCCCTTCACTCCAGTCTGGGTGACAGAGTGAGACTCCAACTCAAAAAAAAAGCAACATGCAGAATGGTAACTCAATATGAGCCCAGGCCAAGTGTGGTGGCTCACATCTGTACTCCCAGCACTTTGGGATGCCAAGGCAAGAGGGACTGCCTGAGCCCAGGGTTTCAAGACCAGCCTGGGCAACAGACCAGACCTCATCTCTGCAATGAATTTAAAAATTAGTTGGGCATGGTGGCACATTCCTGTAGTCCCAACTACTTAGAAGATGTAGGCAGAAGAATCTACTGAGTCCAGCAGGTCGAGATTTCGATTGTGCCACTGCACTCCAGCCTGGGCAAGTCAGAAAAGGAAAAAAACAAACAAACCAAAAACAATAACAAAAAAAATTAGCCCAATAAACTAATATATACACCAATAGGTACAGACTAAAGTGTGACAGAGAAATATAAAATGACTTCTAAAAAATATCTAGATGATAGGATGATTATAAGTGTCTTTTAAAATACTTTTCAAGGCCGGGCTCGGTGGCTCAGCCTGCAATCCTGCGCCTTTGGGAGGCTGAGATGAGTGGATTGCCTGAGCCCCTGGGTTCGAGACCCGCCTGGGCAACTTGATGAGACCTCATCTCTACAATAAATCAAAAAATCAGCCGGGCGTGGTAGCGCATGCCTGTAATTCCGGCTACTTGGAAGGCTGAGGCGGAAGGATCTCCGGAGCCCCGCAGGTCGAGGCTGTGATGGCCGGGAGCGGCCACTGCACTCCAGTCTGGGTGATAGAGTGAGACTCCAACTCAAAAAATAAAAAAATGAAAAGATAAAATAAAATACTTTTCAAACGTCTTAAATGTTCTGTCATGACATATTACTTTTATAATCAGAACAATGTTATTCAAACAAACTGGAGTGGAAAATAGTAGTGGAAAGCAGTCACATCCCCTTCTCAACCTGTTTAGACCCAAGAATAAAAGTGAAAACTTCCTACCTTCAGTTCAGAAAGTGTTTGGTTTATAACAATTCCTCTCAGATTTATGAGTACTGGAACAGTAAACTGGTTCACATTAAAAATGAACTCTATCCTACTATAGATGAAATTTCATTGTAACTTTATACAGTTTAATTCAGTAAAGGTTGGCAGAATTTTATCATTATAAAAGTGTATTTACGAGTCTCTCATTAGGTAACTCAATATATGCCCTTGATTTTAATAATTCCTGTGGGATGGCGGCTGATCAAACACTTTCATGTGCACTTACCGTGGAGAATCTATCCCACTATCTCCTGCCATGCTGTGATTTTCTGTTCCTTCCGAGTGACTGTGTTCATGTTGGATATCCTGAGCTGACTCCGGCATATGTGAAGTGTCGAAAAGGTCTAACTTCTGTGGGGAGCATTTTCTCATTTCCTGATTCTGAGGATTCTGATTCCAGCTAGCTGGTTTCTTTCCTGTATCACCAACAGAGTCTTGGAGGATTTCAGCTTCAGAACCAGCCTTACTTGCACTGTAGTAATCAAATATTCTTTCATCAGTAGGTGCCGAGGCCTGTCCACATTTAGCAACACTGTGTTCTTTGTAGTTAAAACCAAACCGGGTTCCTGAACCTACGCCACAGCTTTCACCAGAGAAATTAGGCTTTTGGCTTTCACTTGGGTTAGTGAGCAACACAGTGGGTTTGTAGTATTCATTTATTTTAAGCACCCGCAGCTCAAACTTATCCATTTTGCTGTTGTACTCAGCCAGAGATCTCTCGGTCACTTTTTGTTTTCCTAACTGATTTCCCTTGCTTCCATCTGTAAAGGAACATTGAATGTGGCCAGGCAGCATTTGGCATAAGTCATCATTCTCAGAAAAGTCATCCTCCTCTAGATATAATGAACTGCAGGCACCATCATCATCTTCCACTTGATTCTGATACAAGGTGGCCTGATCATCATCAGAAAGCCCTTCATTTTCCAGGCTCGCAGTCTCTGCATCCTGGACAAATGCCTCTCTCAAAAATTCTTCTGAGTCTCTGTCTTGTCTCTCAGGTTGTCTTAAAGGGTTCACACTGGCTGGGTAATCCAAAAGACCAAGATTTTGAAACTGGTGTATTGTTTTATCAACTAATCTGCAAGCAGGGGATGTTTGGTCTAACAAGGAGGCACCTGGTGATGGCAGGATAGGCGCTGTTTCTTTGGTCTCCCCTAATCTGTCAAAGTGGGAATGACTTTTCCTCAAGAACTCAGGGATTACCTCATTTTCTCCACAGTACACGTCATATCTCAACATGCCACCCATCAAGGAACAACACTTACTGTCATTTTGCAAAACACTACATTGAGGGTAATTTAAGGGCTGATCTCTGGAGTCGTCATTGGTGGTTTTGACAGCAGGGTTATGCATATAGATGAATCCTGCTTTCAGTTTCTCATCGTGTTGCTCAGCAGACGGCTGTTTGGCTTCACTGTTAAAAATTCTTGAGGAATCCAAAGACTTTGACCTTTGGAAAGGCTTTTCTCTTGATCCAGTCTGACTGGGTTTCAGATCGCTGGTCTTCTGAATGTTGTGCCCTTTGGTTATCAGACTTCCTCGGTGAGACAAACCCTGGAAAGGATTACTGATTCGCTTTTTGTAAATCAAATGGGAGCTTAGCACTGTTGAATTCTCACCAGGCAATTTCTGAATTACCGCTTCATCTGGGCTGTTAATTTTGGGGGCGTGCTGGGTAGCTGGGAGCGTGGAGTGTTTCTCCAGTCTAATACTTCCTGGTAGAAGCTCACTTCCCTGATTCCTGGCTTTGTGTCGATCCCTACGAGAACGGCCCCGCCCTCGAGACTTTGCAGACCGACCCTGTCTTTTCTTAACTCTCTCTTTTGAAGGATACTTAGGCCTGATTGTCAGCATATCAGTAGAAGTGCCCTGGCTATTATATTTTTTCTGTTCTTCGTATTTTTGCATTAAGACAGTGTGTCTGATTAAGTTGTCAACCGTCAGAATGGGGTTAATTCGTTTTATTATCTCATGTTCAACATCTCTAGGGATATTGTCCAAGTTATCTTCATCCCGGACCGGCCACTCTTCAGGTGGGAACTGAGCAGAGAAACTGCTGTGTTCTCTTTTGGGCTTCTCCTTTCTAGATATGCTGCGCCACCACAGACTAAAACCAAACTTCTTGCCTTTTTCTCTGTCTCTTGTGTATAGCAAAGGTTTGGTGCTCTCACAGGTGTGATTCTCCACAGACACTGAAACCGCCCCATTCTGTACCGAAGGTTTCGACTCCCCGAGACTTTTCTGGCCTTTTCCAGTCACTTCTGCCGCAGTTTGTGGTTCCTGAACATCCTGCGTGCACACATCAGGGAAACACCGGCAAGACTGACAATGGGAAACAGGGACCGTGTTCTCCTGGGATGCCTCTGCGCGGTTCTCCATGCTCACCAGATATGTCGTGGAAGTTGGCACTGGACCGTGTTCATCTGACAGGAGGACCCTCTTGTTTTCCTGGGTGGTTGTGTTTGTAATGAAGTAAGTCTGAGGAGTAACTATGAAGTATCCTTCTCCAGTGTGATAAATCTTCCTTTCTTTAATCAGAGTTCCCAGAGTGGTATAGAGAATATCTTGAGATGGAATCGCAATGCCTGAAACAAACAAGCAATTTACACGGATAGATTTTGAATAAGAAACATGAATAAGGCGTGAAATCAGTAAACTAAGTAATGACCACATGTTTACTTGATAAACCGAGCTGATTGTAATACAATTAATAAGTAATTAAAATGCCCAAGAAACATAAATAATATTCATAATTTAAATAATAGAAATATAATTTCACCCACACAGAGACATATGGCTATGTGAATGAGTAAATAGGAAAAAAATCTGAATTCACTCAAATACAAACCTATTATACATTTAAACTTTGACTAGGGAAAGTATGCTTTTATTTTTCTCATTTTGTTAGAGATGAGGTCTCCCTGTGTTACTCGGGCTAACCTTGAACCCCTTGTCTCATGCAGTTTTCCAGCCTTAGCCTCCCGAGTAGCTGGGACTAGAGGTGTGCACCACCACACCTGGCTGAGGAAAGCTTTTTTTTTTTTTTTTTTTTTTTGAGTTGGAGTCTCACTCTGTCACCAAGGCTGGAGTGCATCGGCGCACTCCAAGTCATTGCAGCCTCAACCTGCTGGGCTCAGATGATCCTTCTATCTCAGCCTTCCAAGTAGCGGGAACGACAGGCACATGCCACCACACCCGGCTAATTTTTTTTATTTATCGTAGAGGCACCATGTTGCCCAGGCTGGTCTTGAATCCATGGGCTCAGGCAATCCTCTTGCCGCAATCTCCCAAAGTGCTGGATTACAGGTGTGAGCCACCATGCCCAGCCAGAAAGCATTCTTGATGAACAAACATGGGATTTTTAAAAAACCAGTCAGTCTCATGGTTTAAGTGTTCATAAGAATCTAAAGAGAAAATGAAATCCAGTCTGTGCTTGGATGAGGGCAAACTAGCTAACATCTGGATACAGTCATTTTTCAAAGCAAAAAGTAACAAAATAATTTTAAAATAAATTCCCTTTTCCAAACAGCAGGATTCAAAATTATATTATGAGAACAATGTTAAGAAAAATACTGGAAAAAAATATATCAATATGTTAACACTGGTTTCCTTTGCGATGTGGTACTATGAATGGTTACTTTTCTATATTTTCTGGATTTTTCTACAGTAAATATATTCACTATATAATGGGGGGAAAAAAATACCCTTTTACAATCAGGCATTAAGATGCCATGCGGCTATTAAAAGAATGTGATATCTGAGTTTGCTAAAGCCAGATGCCATTCCTGAGAAGGAAGAAAAAGAAATAAATGAAAGAATGAGATAGGCTGAGTGTGGTGGCTCATGCCTGTAATCCCAGCACTTTGGGAGAACAAGGCAGGAGAAATGCTTGAGCCTAGGAGTTTAAGACCAGCCTGGACAACACAGTGAGACAGCATCTCCACAAAAAATAAAAATAAAAAATATTAACTGAGTGTGGTGACATGCACCTGTAGTCCCAGCTAGTCAGGAGGCTGAAGCAGAAGGGTCACCTGAGCCCAGGAGGTTAGGGCTGCAGTAGCCATGATCGTGCCACTGCCCTCCTGCCTAGGCAACAAAGTGAGACTCCCAACTCAAAAATAAATGAATAAATAAAGAGATAGACCAATATATGTGGTATGGAAATATCTCTAAGATTTGTCTTAAAATTAAAAAGGGAAAGGTGCAAAGAAAATGTATAGAATGATACAATTTGCTATTTAAAAGGATATATGTATATTCAAATACAATTTATAAAAGTATACATAAGAAACTCTATACAAGCTGGGCTCGGTGGCTCAGCCTGTAATCCCAGTGCTTTGGGAGGCTGAGGTGAATGGATTGCCTGAGTCTGCGGGTTCGAGACCCACCTGGGCAACTTGGTGAGACCTCATCTCTACAATAAAATCAAAAATTAGCTGGGCATGGTAGCGCACGCCTGTAGTTCCAGCTACTTGGAAGGCTGAGGCGGAAGAATCGCCGGAGCCCAGCAGGTTGAGGCTGCGGTGGCTGGGAGTGGCCACTGCACTCCAGTCTGGGCGACAGAGTGAGACTCCAACTCAAAAAAAGAAAGAAAGAAAGAAAGAAACGCTATACAATAACAGTTGCCACCTCTGGGAAATAGGAATGGGAAAATGGGACATTTCACACTCCTTTCTACAAAGTTTTATTTATTTATTGTTACAAGCATTTATTTTTGAAAAAGTTCATCTGGAGAATAAAATAAATACCCTCATCAAATTTGTTGGTGCAGGGCTTTTTTTCTGGCAGTGTTCTGATATAAGGTTCTATAGAGGTTCTACAGAGGAAAGAAAAAAGATATCACCCAGTTTACTTATGTGTTTAAGATTATTTATAAATAGAAACCAAACACATGCAATGAACTGCAAAGAGAAAAAAACTTATTATTACTCTACCTGGGTAATGTTTCATCAAGTGCTCCAAAAGTGATTCCTGTGTTACTACAATCTGAGCTGCATTCATATCAGATATAGCACAGCAAAGAACTTCAGCCAAAGGTACAAACTGAGATTGAGCTATTGGGTTCATCTGTACTGGAAAGACATCACCTACATTGGAGATTTAAAACAAAGGGAAGAGGTGATAAATTTGATATAGCATAGATCATGTTTGGAATTAGTGAACCAAGAATAGTTATAAAGACTGAATAGCAGGGTTTCTCAACTTGGACACTTTTGACATTTGGGGCCAGATACATATACAGGGGACCAATAGTCCTAGTATGTCTGGGTCTGAGGTATTTCCTGGGACACAGGACTTTCAGTGCTGTAAAACCTATAACAAGGAAAGTGACAGGCGAACTTGGATGGATAGTCACTCTAGCCAAATAATTTTGTTGTGGGGTCGGATGTTCTGTGCATTGTTGGATGTTTAATAGCATCCTGGCCTCTACCCACTAATGCCAGTCGCGTTTTCCATAACTGCAGCAACCAAAAGTGTCTCCAGATATTGCCAAATGTCCCTGGGAAGCAAAATCAGTTGGAAACCACTGTTCCAGACCATTTGTATGAGAAATCTGACTGTGAAAGAAAAGAAATAGCCTGGGTGCAGAGGTTCATGCCTATAATCCCAGCACTTTGGGAGGCCAAGGTGAGAAGATTGCCTGAGTCCAGGGGTTCAAGACCCACCTGGCAACTTGGTGAGACCTCATCTCTACAATAAATCAAAAAAATTAGCCGGGTGCAGTGCGCGCGCCTCTAGTTCCAGCTACTTGGAAGGCTGAGGCAGAAGGATCACCGGAGCCCAGCGGGTCGAGGCTGCAGTGGCTGGGAGCAGCCACTGCACTCCAGTCTGGTGACAGAGTGAGACTCCAACTCAAAAAAAAAAAGAAAGAAAGAAAGACTGTGCTTTTGCTTTTGACAAAAGGCCTAATGCAGCCGGACTCGGTGGCTCAGCCTGTAATCCTGCGCCTTTGGGAGGCTGAGGTGAGTGAATTGCCTGAGCCCACAGGTTCGAGACCCGCCTGGGCAGCAAGACCTCATCTCTACAATAAAACAAAAAATCAGCCGGGTGTGGTAACCCATGCCTGTAGTTCCGGCTTCTCGGAAGGCTGACGCGGAAGGATTGCCAGAGCCCAGCAGGTCGAGGCTGTGGTGGCCGGGAGCGGCCACTGCACTCCAGTCTGGGCGACAGAGTGAAACTCCAACTCAAAAAAAAAAAGGCCTAATGCATTTTCATAATAATTGATAAAGCGCAAGAGGGTGGAGCCCAGGTAACTGCTGCAGAGAGATTGCCATCTCTCCACCTTTGATAGGTGAGGAGTGGTCTTTTTTCAGAACATACATTTTGCCTTTGTAGGAGACTCACAAGACTTCTGAGTACACAAATTCATGAGCTAAAAGGTGGTCTTATTATCATTTCTATGACTTTTGATTCTTGGTCCGGGAACCATCTTAATGAAGTTTTCCTTTAGTGAGCTGAGGGGATGGGGTAGACTGGGAGTCCACACTGAATTCACATTCCAGCCTGCAGTTGGTTAGGCCTGCCAAGATGTCTGGATGCTTTCTTATTAAAAACTAAAAACTGTCTATAAGAGAGTATCTATGCCTAACCTGTAGGAGCTACCCTGCTGCAGAGATGATGAAAATGATTCTCGGAGAGAAGGTCAATAAAACAGCAAGATCCCAGAGAGGGGGAAAGGGAAAGTACCAAAGGTACAGGTGGAGGGACTAGCTTATTATTATTATTATTCTTTATTCTTTATTTTTTGAGTTGGAGTCTCACTCTGTTGCCCAGACTGGAGTGCAGTGGCCGCTCCTGGCCACTGCAGTCTCGACCCTGCCGGGCTCCAAGTGATCCTTCCATCTCAGTCTTCCAAGTAGCCAGAACTACAGGCGTGTGCTACGACACCCGGCTAATTTTTTATTTATTGTAGAGATGAGGTCTCGCCAAGTTGCCTGGGTGGGTCTCAAACCCACAGGCTCAGGCAATCCACTCGCCTCGGCCTCCCAAAGTGCTGGGATTACAGGCTGAGCCACCAAGCCTGGCCAGGGACTAGTTTAAAAATGAGAAAAATGTGGCCAGGTGTGGTGGCTCACACCTGTAATCCCAGCACATTAGGAGACAGGTGAGAGAATCACCTGAACCCAGGAGTTCAAGACTAGCCTGGGCAACATGGCAAGACCTCATCTCTATAATAAATAAATAAGCCAGGCTCGGTGGCTCAGCCTGTAATCCCGCACTTTTGGGAGGTTGAGGTGAGTGGATTGCCT